TAAATGAGATAAAAACTAGAAAGATGGAATACTTGGGGCACATTGTGAGAGGTGAAAAGTACGAACTTTTAAGAAACATCATGCAGGGCAAAATTAAGGGCAAAAGAAGTGTGGGAAGAAGAAAAATATCGTGGCTTCGTAATCTATGTGAATGGTTCGGGTGTAGTTCGATTGAACTTTTTAGGCGCGCTGCTAACAAAGTCGCAGTGGCCATGATGATTTCCAACCTCCGCTAGGAGTGGCACGAAAAGAAGAAGAAGTATTTCTGGATTTGTAAATTCCAAAGAAGGGTACAGGATATATATATATATATATATATATATATATATATATATATATATATATATATATATATATATATATATATAGTTCAGCTCAACAGGCCTCAAAGGCCCAAGGCTTCAACGGTTTTCTTCCATTTCTTTCTATCTTGTGCTAAGTTTTTCCAATCTTGTACCCTTAGCGACTTCAGATCTTCTTTTGCCGACTCCAGCCATTTTCTTCGGGGGCGGCCTCTTTTTCTTTTTGTATTAGCCTCAGTGTTTATTAATTCATTGGGAACTCTTCCTTCCTTTATTCTTGCTATATGCCCGAGCCATCTTAATCTTTGAATTTTCGCGAGTCTTGTTATTTTTGGTTGTCCATATATTTGCATTATTTCTTCATTCGTTCTTCTTCGCCAGATGTTCCCCTCTTTTACACCTCCGTATATCCTTCTAAGAATTTTTCTTTCCCATCTATCTAATTTTACTTCCATATCTTTATTTAGTGTCCAGGTCTCGCTAGCATAGAGTACTGTAGGTCGGATAACTGTTGTATATATTCGTTTTTTTGCTGTTCTGGATATTATCTTCGACCTCAGTATCTTAGTCAGGCTCCCAGCACTCTTACTACCTTTGGCCATTCTTTTTATGATTTCTTGGTTCTCTTCGTTCCTATTTGTTAGTGTCACTCCCAAGTAGTCGAATTGGAGAATAATATATAGAAGGGGTATAAGATCTTCAGTGGACCAATTATTCACTGACAGTCATTTCATGGATTTAAACCTGTTGTACTTCTACAAATCATTATTATATTTACACAATGAGAAATCATTTCTGAATTTTACCCACCATACATATCAGAATAGAAATAGAAATTTAACGATAAAAAAAATTTTGTTTAAAATCCTTTATAAAAGGTATATAAAAATGCCTCAAACGGGCTATCACAAACACATTGCAAAACGTTTTCGGATTAAACAATCCATCATCAATGCAAACGGTTGTACATGCTAGTAGCCACCAAAATATATGGGTAAAAACCCTTTAAATGTTTTAAATTTGAAGTTGTTTTACATTATTAGTATTTATAATTTGTGATGGTTAAGTTACCGTTGGATAGGTTACATGGCGGCGTATGACTCTACATGAGTGACTCATGTAGAGTCACTCATGTAGATGTTCATCTAACTATATATACAGATGCTAGTATTTTAGGAATTGCTGTAATTCTGAAACAAAAACAAAGAGATGGAGCAATAAAATAAGTTGCTTACTAAAAAAAAAAAATTAAACAAATATCAAAAGAATAAAAAAGCCATATTTTAGAATGCCTTTCAATTAAAAAAGCAATCAAGTTTTGGCAACACTGGCTAATGAGACGAAAGTTTTTAGTTATTACTGATCATAAGCCCCTTGAGAAAAGAGCCGCATGTATTTAAAAGATTGAATCCTTGGTTTGGCCCTAACCTAAAATTTAATGCTTCTAACATTTATATAGAGAATCATGTATGAAAATTTCAATTTTAAAATGTTTTATTCAAGTTGCATTAATACCTATGTACAAAACAATTGAACTAAGAAATATATAAAGTAAAATATTCGAACTTATAAAATATTTAAACTTGGTAACATTCAAGCACCAGTGTCAAGATTGTAAGCCATCTCTCCTTTCATAACTATGTTGTCCAATTTAATTTTCCGAAGAACTATTATTGGACAGGTAAAAATGTTAAAATGAAGTTAAGCCGCTGTTTTCATAAAACTTTTCGCTTCTTGTTTCCAGTATAGGAGTACCCAATCTCTTCCACACAACTTAATTGTCCCATATTTTTAAAAAAATTCATGATATTCTTCTTTTCTTACAATTGGGATTTTTTTATGTTGTTTCTATTATCCCAAATACTCTGTCAGGAAAAAATGAATCGGCAGGAAAGACTTTCAATTTTGCGTATGTTTGCTGGAGCACAGCTATCCAGAAACTTGCAGCACATGGTAACTTCATTTTCATTTTTAGACACCTTTTTTCTTTTTCTCTTTTTTCCAATTGGATGAGGTTTTGTAATTCTAGACAAGTACTAACTAAATTCATCCATGCTACAGTAAGAGAATCCAATGTTGAAATTTGAGCAAAATATTTTTCTGAAAAATCCCTAAGTAACCTTCTCAGTTTCTTTTTTACCATAATTGAACATTACTTTTCATTAGAAATTGTATGAAAGACTTTAAGTGGTACAAAGCTAGTTATGTTTTTACAGCTAACTCTAAAACTTCATATTTTAAAATCAGATCATATCACTCAAAAACTATTCATAACTCGGATGAACATATACAGTAACTCCTAACATATCAAACTTCCACCCAAGTATTAACATTTTTTACAGCAATCAAATGTTAAGTACATGATTGAATTTAATGATTAGACTTACCTTTGCCATTTCTGTATTTTTTTCCCATTAGTCGGGATCGCTTTTCCTCTTACGCATCGGGCCTTGACTCACAGATATATTTGACTCCAAGAATCTACTTTTTAAACTAAATATATACACAAAAAACAGTTTAACCTAGTGATAAACACAAATAAAACGTAGTCATGTAATCACAATAGAGCATTCTCATTGGCTGTTGGGGAGATGTTAGTTTTTGAAATACACCTTTATAACACTTGTCCGTTTTTAAAATAAACATTTAAATATGATGCTGAAAATAACGTACTTGCGTCTGTGTTTGAAGGAAACTATTATCACCGTTAAAAAGAAAAAGAACAAACAACATTCTATAAGAAACCACTACTAACTAAATTTTTATTTTTTTGACACATGTCCATCTTTGATATGAAGCCACTTATATATATATATATATATATAATATATATATATATATAAATATATATATATATATATATATATATATATATATATATATATATATATATATATATATATATATATATATATATATATATATATATATATATATATATATCCTGTACCCTTCTTTGGAATTTACAAATCCAGAAATACTTCTTCTTCTTTTCGTGCCACTCCTAGCGGAGGTTGGAAATCATCATGGCCACTGCGACTTTGTTAGCAGCGCGCCTAAAAAGTTCAATCGAACTACACCCGAACCATTCACATAGATTACGAAGCCACGATATATATATATATATATATATATATATATATATATATATATATATATATATATCCTGTACCCTTCTTTGGAATTTACAAATCCAGAAATACTTCTTCTTCTTTTCGTGCCACTCCTAGCGGAGGTTGGAAATCATCATGGCCACTGCGACTTTGTTAGCAGCGCGCCTAAAAAGTTCAATCGAACTACACCCGAACCATTCACATAGATTACGAAGCCACGATATTTTTCTTCTTCCCACACTTCTTTTGCCCTTAATTTTGCCCTGCATGATGTTTATTAAAAGTTCGTACTTTTCACCTCTCACAATGTGCCCCAAGTATTCCATCTTTCTAGTTTTTATCTCATTTAGAATTTCGCATCTTTTTTCTAAAGTTTGGAGTACTTGTGTGTTAGTGACGCGGTCCATCCATGATATTCTGAGAATGCGCCTATAGCACCACATCTCGAAAGCTTCGATGTTTTTTATGGTCAACCGTTTTAGTGTCCAAGCCTCAACTCCATATAACAGGGTAGAAAAGACATAACACCGCAGCATTCGTATTCGTAACTTTATACTACATCTAATCTAATCTCTACATCTAATCTCTTTTGTTTGATCAGTATCGTCTGTGATCCAAGCACCTAGATATTTATAACAGGGCACACGCTCAATCGTTGTATTGTCTATTACAAGATTAGCTCTGATGTTCTTTGATTTCGTAATTACCATAAATTTAGTTTTTTTCAAATTAATTTTCAAGCCGTAACTGTTACAGTATATATTGAGACTTTGAACGAGATGTTCTAGTTCTACTAGCGTTCCCGTTAGGAAAACTGTATCGTCAGCATTCCTTATATTGTTGATCGTCTCACCATTTATTATCAGTCCAAGATCTTCTTCCTAGAGTGCTTGTTCACAGATAGCTTCACTATACAGATTAAATAAAAGTGGCGATAAGATACATCCCTGCTGGACTCCTCGACGGATTTGAATGTCTTCTGTTAGTCTGCCCTCAACCTTGGCATTTGCTGTTTGATTCCAATATAGATTGCATAAAATTCGAATATCTCGGCTGTCTATATTTTTCTTTATTAGAATTTGTCATAGTGGTTCATGTTGTACTTTGTCAAAGGCATTTTCGAAATCAATAGAAACTACTGTGAAACAAGAAATACTACTATGTTGTTACTTTTCTTTTACTCGGTAAATCTGAGAGGTTATTTATTATAGGTGATTCCTATTAAAAATTTGTCAAATAATTAGATTTCATAAGATCATATAAAGAACACAATCTACATACTCATACCTATTCTGTAGGTCTTAAAACCTAAAAAGGTAGTATACCTTTTAATAATGTCGAAACGTCAGAAGCAAAAGTTATGTAGTTTGAACTACAGTAATTATGGTTTATTCCTAAAGAACAAATCATTTTTAGTACCAAACATGTCAAAAGAAAGTAGTTTTAGAATAATATAGAACAATATATCTTGTATTCTCAAAATAAAAATTTCATAGAATTAAAAATTTCTTTATTTCTGTAGGTTTAAAAAAAAGTAATATAATGAAAAAGCTATTTTACATTCAACCATATACAAAATATTAAATTATTTGTTATTCTTCTTTTTTGCTTCATGATACATTAGTCTTTCTTTAGCGGCATACGAGAGAGGATATTTTCTACCACATTCTCCTCGGAAATCGTCTGTATCCAAAGACCAGATTAAAACACCAGCGAGGTTATGACTCACAGCAAAGTCCACTTTATATTGTATCGATCTCTGATCGTCGTATCCAGCCCATTGATCTTCCCATACCCTGTGAGGAACTTTCTGTTCGTCATCCCAGTAGTAAGTTGAGTCGGATCCAGAATAGAATTCGCAAATCTGTAAATATATTGTAAGATGGTTACAACTGATACTTAGAATTCTTACAATTAATATAAATGATCAAAATTGATTTAAACTAAATATATTGTTAGAAAATATTTAAATAACTTTCAAATAAACATAAATAACAAATTACCAATAAACTAGAAACATAACTGAGGACTTTGGGAAAGGTAGAGTCTTATATTTAGTTGTTTTTATTGTACAGTCAGTAAAATTTCTATAGGTAGTGTATATTCTATAGATATAAATTGCACAAGTAATAAATAGTGAGGAAGGATTTGATGATTTTTTTTGTTTATACTTACTAAATGATAAAATCAATTTGACCTATATTGCTTTCTGGTAATATAAACAAATCTTCTTCTCTTCTTCTTCTTCGGCTTTTCCCATTATGAGTTCGCCGTTTTCGTCCTCCACAGCACTCTATTCTCCCAGTCTCCTTCTCTGAGGTCTCTATCTATCATAGCATTATGTTTTCCATCTCGTAGCAGGTCTTCCTCTCCGTCTTCTTCCCGGCGGGTCCCAGTTTAATATTCTTTTTGGCCACCTATGCTCTGGCATTCTTTGTACATGCCCATACCACTGCAGGGCTCTGTTTTCCAACTTTTTTGTTATTCAGCATTGTACTTCTATTCTGTTCCATATTTCCTCCGTTCTTATTCTATCCGCTCTTGTGATTTGTAGATATATTCTCATAAGGTCCAGTTCAACTGTTCTTATTTTATTTCGTATTGTTGTTGTCATTGGCCATACTTCCGCTCCATATAGGGTAATATTCATCACTATGCTTTGAAAAATCCTCTTTTTGTTTTCTTTGGTTAAAGTGTTGTTTCATATCACTCCATAAAGTGCTCTTGTGGCTTATTTCCCCCGTGCTATTTTCATTTCTATATTTTTCATAAAAGTAGCATCTCGGCTAATCATTGACCCTAAATACTTAAAAGTCTTACAAATCTTAATAGTCTCTTCTTCTAAACCTAAGTTCAAATCTGCAACCTCGGGTCCAATACATAAGTATTCGGTCTTGCACATATTTATCTTGAGTCCCCAAAGTTTATATTTTTCCTTTAATTTCCTTATCATATATTCCATATCCTCCCTGTCTTGTGCAAAAATGACTTGATCATCTGCGAAAAGTAGTGAATGTAATATATTCTCTTGTACTGTTATACCCATTGTTCCGCATTTTCTATACCATCTTTTCAAAGCCTGATCTATATATATATATATATATATATATATATATATATATATATATATATATATATATATATATATATATATATATATATGTAAAAAGTGTAGGTGAGAGACCACATCTTCGTTTGAGGCCTTTTGTTGCGGTGATTGTTTTTGTTATTTCATTACCTAACTTTATTTGCACTTGTGTTTCTTTATACAGTCTTTGTGTTATATTTACCCATTCTTCTCTAACGTGCATTCTTCTCATTGCTTCTCATAAGTCGATAAAGGTCATATGTGTTTAAATGTTTTTTTCTTTGTTCTTTTCAATCACCTGTCTCATAATAAATATATTATCTAAACATGATCTGGCTTTTCGGAATCCGGCTTGTTCTTCGCTATAATGGTCCATGTGTTGTTTTTGTATATATAAACAAATCAGCAGATATATTCAGAGCTTCAAAATTATAATTTGATTAATTATGTTCTCCCAAGTAAATCATAAAGAATGTTTGCAATATATATTTAGATTGTAAACATTTTGATATGCGTGTTGTAACACTTGATATGCGTGTGGTAAAGAACCTATTGAGCTTAAGTGTGAACACTACTATATAATCATCATTCTAGCTTTGCAACTCTGCATGGGTCCTAGCCTCCTCAAGTCCCTATTTCTCTTTAGTAGTCCCTATTCATCACCTTCTTCTACCGAGTACGTACTCACATATTTCTTATGTCTTTATCGATGTTATCAAGAAACCTTATTCTGTATCTTCGTCTTCTCCGAAATTATCCGATTTATAATACGCTTACTATACTTATTGTTTAGTGTAATATTTCTAAATTAATATTTTAAATATAGTTATCATTTAGTTTACTGTAATATAATATAACTCTCTATATAATACGTGACCCGGTCTAGTTTGTGTTTTAATTTAATGTCTTGATGGGTCCCTAGACGAGAAGCGAGTAACCATGTTTGTTCCATGGATAACCAAATAACTAATAATAGATGTATTGTGATAATTATTTTCTTTTCTCTCCTTTGGGAAGAACTTAAAAAAGTTGTGACTGACTGAATGGCAAATGCCTACACCAAAAAAAAACTCTTTATATAATATAATCTATCTCCTATAACGCAGTCCAGGTCAGGCCCTGTCTTTTTCCAGCATCCATCTCCAAGAATCCCTTTTCTTGGCTACTCTTCTCCAGTTATCCACTCTCATTAGTTCTTCAGCATCGATTCTTACTTTGTCTATCCACCGCATCCTTGTTTTTTCCACTGATTTTCGTCCCATCATAGTTCCTTTAAGTATTCTAAGCTTCTACTAGGTGTTCTATTATTATCCGTTCTTATAAGGTGGCCTACCCAGTACAATCTGTTTTTACATAATTTGCTGTAAAGGATCCTTTGGTATATTGATATGACTCGTGTTTGAACCTTATTCTTCACATACTCTTGTTGTAGATAGGCCTTAATATTCTTTTCAACAACTTTCTTTAAAAAGTATTAATCTTATTTATTGTTTTTTTTTTATGTCATGATCCATGTTTCTACGCCATATGTTACTTTTGGTAGTATGATGGTTTTATATATTTTGAACTTTACTTTCCTACGGACGTGAATCTCGGGTAAAAAGACCGGTGATAGTATACGGAGCGGAAGTAATTGTGTCTTACGAAAAAAGATAAATAAAAAAATAAGAATAATTCAACGAAAAATTATGAGAAGAATACACGGCCCAATAAAGACAGAATAAGGAGAATATAGAAGATTAACGAACCATAAAATAAGAAATATAAAGAATGAGGCAGACATAATAAAATTTACTAAAGCACAAATGTTCAGAAATGTAAAATAATGAGATTTATTTAAATTTGCCGCGCATTTGTAGACGGGGCTTTAGCTGTATTGGCGGTTGATACTTCATGTCTTGCCGAAAAGAGAAGAGTCGCCACCCGCCAGCCGAGAGTGACAGTCGGTCGAAAAAATAGGTTAACAGATGGCATGTCGATATAGTCACGAATCACAATGTATTTATATACATTGTAGGCACTGTCCAGAGAAACATAATTCTTTGTTGCATGATTCCAAGAACATATACCCATGTAGTTCACACAGGGTCGTATTTAGATCAAGTTTATGGTCCAGCTCAAGATTTTCATAACACAGATTCGCATTCAGATCAAGTCAATACTTCAGCTCAAAGTTTTCAGAGCATAGGTTCACAAGCAGGTCAGTTTTATACTTCTGGTCAAGGTTCTCAAAACAAAGAGTCAACTACAGCTTATGGTAGTATATATTGTTCTTCAGATCACAATCCTCAGAGTATAAATTTGGATTCAAGTCAAATCTGTCGACTTGAAGCAGATACAACCTCATATTACCAAAACAGACATACAGACATACTAACATTACTGTACCAGTAGATACTCAGCTAAGGAGTACAGTCAGTAATGGATTGCAAGTTTTAAATCAAGCTTCAGAATCAAATCAGGAAGCTAAACTAGATACAATATTCAAGAATTTTTGTAATCTTTCAACAAGTGGTCAGGTCTTATTAGCCACAGTTTTGGTACAAGTATTTGACAAGCATGAAAATCAGCATATTTGTACAGCACTTTTAGATAATTCTTCAATGTCTAATTTCATATCAAAGGGTTTAGCAGATCGCCTAGGGATTACTCAACAAAGGGTCCAGTTGTCAGTATCAGGACTTGCACAGAATCAGTCTGTGATTCAATCCTCTTGTAATGTAACAGTTAAGTCTCTCAGTAATCAGTTTTCATGTTCTCTTCAGTGTTTAGTTATTCAACAAATAACAGATGATTTGCCTAATAGGTATTTTTCTAAATCTTCATTACCGATTCCCAACAATATTACACTAGCAGATGATAGATTCAATGAACCCAAAAATATAGATATCCTCATTGGTGCAAATTCTTGGAATCTCATATGTACAGGTACGATTCACTTAGGAAAACATCTACCAGTGCTACAAAAAACAGTTTTAGGGTGGATAATTTTAGGTCCACTTGGATTATCTAAATTAACATCAAATAATAGCAAATGTCATTTTACGAAAGTCACCGATTTAGAATCACAGGTCGCAAGGTTTTGCACATGAGCAACAGCAAGTGGAAGAACATTTCATAAACATAGTTCAACGTGATACATCAGGTCGATTCATTGTATCAGTTCCGTTAAAGGAACCAATATCAAGGTTAGGGAACTTAAAGGACATAGCAATGAAACAGTTTTACAGTTTAGAGAGAAAGCTAGCAGTCAACCCCCAACTAAAGAAGTTCTATTCAGACTTTATGAAAGAATATGAAGAATTAAACCACATGATATGGTTTACTCCTAGTGATACTCAAATTACCTATTATTCACCACACCATGGTGTTTTAAAGGAAGAAAGTGACACTACCAAGCTTCGTGTTGTTTTCAATAGTTCCGCATTGTCATCTTCAGGACATTCATATAATTCCATTCAAATGGTAGGTCCAGTAGTTCAAGATGATTTGTATTCAATTATGTTAAGGTTTAGACAACATAACATAGTAATTTGTGCAGACATTTGTAAAATGTACAGACAAGTGATGGTACACAAAAGGTTCCATCCGTTGCAATTAATTGTTTGGAGAAACAATCCTAACGAAGAACTGCAGACATATGCGCTCAATAGACTAGTGTATGGCACTGCAAGTGGTCCATATTTGGCCACGAGATGTCTGGTCCAGTTAGGTATCGAAAATGAAAAATCCAATCCAGAAGCAGTTTGAGTCATAAAGAATGATTTCTTTGTAGA